AAGCGGTCTACTTCCTGTCTGCAGCAAACAACAAGCGGTCTACTTCCCGTCTGCCGCAGGTGCAGGACAGTCGAACGTTTTCTCTTGCCCTGAAGTTTCAGAACGTCACCCCGCTGATCGGACACCGTTTACAATCCGTCAAGCTCTCAATGTTCATTTTCTAGTGTTTCATTGTTCTAAACGACTCTCAGCTACTACCACACCAGATTTTAGCTCAATATCTGTAAAAATTAGTGCGTTATCACCATCTTAAATCACGTTATTCAGCCGCAGATGTTGACCAAGCGATTGGGAGTTTTATTAAAATCTGTCCAGGGATTTATGAGATATTTTGCTAAAACCCACAAGTGCTAACATGATCGTCCGCCTGTCTTTCATGGCCGCAGGCGGAGGATTCTGTGAACATTTCAAACCATCAGATTGTTCAGAAGTTGTTTGAAAACTGACTCATTAAAAACTCACGCTGATTTCCTGCTCAATGTTTTCTTTGAATATTCTTCTTAATGTGTGAGAGCAGTTTTATTTGTTCACGTCCGCTCTGTCTGTTTTAACAGAATTTTACTCTTTGGAACGCTCATGAACAAATTAATTATACATGACAAGGTGATCAGTAAACTCACATGCCAGAGTTTTGAACTAAGATGATTTATTTGTGTCAAATTTTAAGATTGAGATGACTCTCAGCTACTACCACCTCAAGTTTGAGCTCAAAACCTGCTAAACTGACGGAGTTACAGCCATTTCTGTGGCCTGTCAGGTGGACTCCAAAGTGTCAGTAATCTGAAATATTTTGCTAACAGACGAAAATTACTGCCCTATTGGTGACCAGTTGTATATTTATTACATTCCATGGTTTAAAGCAAAAACTAAATGTAATGTGCAGAAATTGAAGTATTTAATTTTTAAATGTGATGCCTATGATCTACTTCAGGCCTTTTCTTCCATAATTTACTGATAAACAGAAAAAAATATATATTAGTTACAGTAAAACTATTCTATAATATATATTATATATAAACGAGTGCAGGAAAAGCACTGACAAATTCAAAAACCTAAAGATAACGTGACTAAATGTCTGACCCCACTCCGTAACTGAGGGTTAAAGTGTGATCCCGGTTTTAGTCTTGCTCTAAATTCATGTTCAAGTCATTTATTGTTTTTTTCTGTTTACAACTTTGTTGCAGATAATTTCAGAACTGGTCTAAAATCTTCAGAGTTTTGAAAGAACAAAGTCAGAATGATCCCATCGCACTTGTTACTCAGAGAACAATGGTCCAGTTTCTAACGCTTCCTGTTGTTTTTTCACTCTGTTCCTGCAGGAAACGTCTGAACCACAATTGTTCTCCACTCGCAGCGTTTCCACCGTTTGTTCGGACACAATAAAACGTGAAGCGCGGCTCAAACTGAACGCAGAGAATGTTGCTCAGATTAAATGATTTAAAAATAAGAAAATTTGTTCTTAGGCTTCTGAGCGGAGTTGTTTCAGGACTCGTTGAGAATGTTTTGAGTAAACTGTTGGGCTCTTAATAATCCTAGAAAAGGACCGGATACTGATCCGAACCTCCAGGTGGACTGCATAGGACAGATTAGGCCCCTAAGACGAGTACAAACTGTATGCTCCATCAAAACTCGCTACATCTCGTGGCATTGTGCTGTGTGCAAAACTGCACCTTTTAGTGGCCTTTTGTTGTGGTCGGCCTAACCTGCGCAATCATCATGCAGCCTGATCAGCATCTTCATCTGCTACACCTGTCGGGTGGAGGGATTCTCTCAGCACAGGAGAAGTGCTCACTAACACATTCCCACTGAGCTACCACTGCCCTCCGTGTGGAGCAGAGAGCTGCCATGTTGGGCGCCCAGGAGAGCCGATGGTGGGGGTCAAGGGCCCAGAGTGAGGCGAATGAGGGTGGAGGCGGGTGTGGGTGTTCACTTTTCCCACCCACATTTTTATGTGGGTCTGAAGGGGTTGAACCAGCAACCTTCAGGTTATTTGGAGCCAAATGTGCTGCCTAGTGTCAGAAACTCTTCAAGTTATTTCAACGACTGTTTCGGGTTTTATTTTTTTAACAGAAGAGTTTCAACAAACCAGTGCCAGTCTGGACAAACAGAAGAACAAACCAGTGCCAGTCTGGACAAACAGAAGAACAAACCAGTGCCAGTCTGGACAAACAGAAGTACTGAAGCCTCAGTGACTCAGATCTTTCTGAATCTGTTGAGTTGACAATGTCCTCCTGAAGGAAAGCAGCTTTCCATATCAAGACAAAACACACTTCCTGCCGTGAAGGGGGAGGTCAAGGGGGGCTGTGGAGAACGAGGGCTGAGGCCAGCAGTCTGCCAGCAGAAGGACAAACTGAGACGGAGCAATGAGGATTTTATAGACTGGAAAACAAAATAAGAACTGGGAGACACTGTGGGAACAAAAAGGTAAGAAAACCTCCATGAACTCAGCGTGATGTTCCTGAAACTGATTTACACTGAAGATGTGTCGCAGCAAACTGTAAGAAAAACAAAAACAAAGTCTGCAGATTTCTTAAAAAAACTTCATGATTCATTTTTCAGCACCGTCTGGAGAAAAGTCGAGGTGCAGCAGAACTTCAGCTAGAAACCCAAACGGAGCAGATTTCATTCCCGTTTTCGTTATAATGTATTAGTTTGAGTCACAGCAGCTGCAGGAAACACTCAGACTTCACTTCTTGTTCTACACTGCAGCCACGTTTGTTTAAATAGTTTTTTATATAAAATCCACACTCAGCCTCACCGGGACAGGGTGAAAACTAAAGTTTAGACAATTGTTGTACATTTATTTAAACTCAAATATCATAAATAATTATTTTACCTGAGTACAGTTGAAGCAGCTTCTGTAACAGCAGCTTTGAGGCTTTTCGGATAATTTCTGATGATATTTTTCTAAGTCCTGACGCGCTCAGTCCGGGACTTTTTCATGGAGCCGTTTTCAGGGATCTCCAGTCATGTTGGACTAGGGTGAAGCCCGGGTTCTGGCCCGGGTTAACACTGTCGGAACGTGGACCTTGAATCCAGTTTGAGTTCTGTGGGTCAGAATTCTGTTTTGTATTTATTCCATTCACCCTGTCCCCACAGCATGATGCTGCCACCACCGTGCTTCACAGCTGAGTCTGCTTTCATCAGGACCTAACATTTAAACTTGAGCTCCAACAACTGAATCTTGGGTTTATCCACCAGAGAAGCTTGTTCCTCAGAGTCCGTCTCGTGTTTTCTACAGAGGAGAGGCTTGAAGCTCAAGATGAACTCCTACACCTCAGTCCGATCTCCACACAGGATCTCTGAAGCTCAGCCAGAGTTACCATCATTCTTGGTCACCTCTCTCACAGGTCCTTCCACTTTGACCTTTCAGTGCAGTCCAGTGACCAGTTCTTGGAAGAGTCCTGGTTGTACCAAAGTTGTTCTTTTTGAGATTTATAGAAGCCACTGCAGGACCTTCAGTGCTGCAGAAATGTTTCTGTAGCCTCCCCCACACCTGTTTCTGTCTTTCAGCTCTGCAGGCTGAAAAACACCCCCATATCACAACACTGCCACCCCCATGCATCCCTGTTAGGAAGGTGTTTGGACCTCAGGGCTTGGATTTTCCTCTGGTGTGGACTTCTAAGTCATGTTGAATCAATTTGATAAATCACAGCTGAACTCCAGTCAAGGTTTAGAAACATCTGTGCAGAAATCAAGATAAACAGGAAGCACCTGTCATGTGTAAAAGCTCCGGATTTATAAGTAGATATAATATTTTTGTATTTTCTTTTTAAACAATCTACAAAATAATAAAAATGTTGTTTTCACATTGTCATTATGGTGCACTGAGGCTCAATGACTAACATGTGGTGTTTTATTTGGATAGGAATACGTCGCCATCAAAAGGAGGCGGAGCTTAGAGAGATGGCGGTTTGGCTCCGCTGCTGCTGGAGCTCTCTTTGGATTGTTGTCCTGCTAAGAGGCGTCTCATCCGACCCGACGTCACAGACGCGACACACTCTCAGCCGAACTAATGCCACCTTTGATGAAGCTCTGAGGGGCTGCGCTCCAGGTGTTCTCGCCACCACAACCACAGAGCGGGAGGTCCAACAAATTCTGGAGCTTCTCAACAGGTCGGTGCCGTTTCAGGAAGAGGTCACAGTCTGGATCGGGCTCAGGAAGACGACGAATGAATGCGTTGATCCGTCGCTGCCGCTGAGAGGATTCAAATGGGTAGAAAATGGCGTGCAGGTGTCGAAGGTAAACATCTGGATGGAGGAGCCAAAACTCACTTGTACAGGGGTCAGATGTGCAGCACTGAGGCGGTATGTTGTCCAGTCCAAGGTTCAGCTGGGTCTGATTGCTGTCACCTGCAGAACCCACTACCAGTACATCTGCAAAGGGAAGAAAGAAGGGTCCTCGGAGAGCCTGCCGACCACCACCAGACCTGCTGCAACGAGTCCAGAACTGAAGCAAACCACACCCGACACAAGACCAGCAGCATTCAACCCAAACCCAGCAACACCACGACCTAACCTTCCTTCACCTGGACCAGACACCGAGCCCAGTCCTGGCACTGGGCCCTGTCAGTACCCCAGCATCAGCAGCATTCGAGCCTTCAGTGTGGACTCCATTAACAGCAGCAGGATGCAGGTGGAGTGCTGGTCAGACGTCAAACTGGACCTGTTCTGTTCAGGTGGAGTTTGGCAAACCCTGGACGGCTCTCCAGCCAATTTCAGCAGCATCTGTCAAAAGTGTCCCGAAGGGTTTCAGAAAAATGTTTCTGGACACTGCGTGGACATCGATGAGTGCGTCACAAGCAAACCCTGCAGGGACATGTGCCTCAACACCGAAGGTTCCTACAGCTGCGTCTGCGCCGACGGCTCGGACCGGAACTCTTCCTGCACAGATCCAGCACAAACCGGTGTCGAGAGCTCCATGTTTTTCATCCTGATCCCAGTTCTGGCTGCGTTTGGAGCCGTGCTGGTGCTGGTGGCTGTGGTTGCAGTGACGGTGAAGTGTTTGAACAGGCGCAGGAAGAGGACAAAAAGAACAACCGACAAGGAGTCGTTTGAAACGACCAACGGAAAGGAAGCAACGTGAGAAAGGCAAGGCTGGACTGTTTCAGGTTCAGGAAAGACTAAAATGTTCATTTGTGGTTTGAAAAGTTTTATGTTTGACTTCATTAAATCAAAACTGAAGCGTCTTCTCATCTCATCGTGACACTTAAGGTGTTTTTTAGGTTTTATCAGAAACCAAACTGATCGAAATACATAAAAAAAAACTACCTTCTAACATCATGAAGCTCTCCCCATGTATGGTCCAGGTGTAGTTTCTATGGTCCAGGTGTAGTTCCTATGGTC